CTATTTCGTCTTCGGATAACAAATCACTTTCGCTCCTACTACTACAAACTAGCATCTCACAGATATCTGACATCTGTAGCTGCTTTTCGAAGCTAGGCCCAGCATGATTTGAGAACAAGTAAGAAATAGAAGGAAGTAAAGAATGAGCGTTCTTTAGTAATGTCTCTAAGCCAATCAGCTTGGAGGAGTGTTCAGACAAACAAATAAAGCGAAAGATAGCATGGATGAGTTTTTGGAATATTTTTCCAGTGTTGGAATAAATCAAATTTTAATATATAAACGTAATCTATAATTATGTATCCAAAACTTTAATATCTCATCTTGAATACATTTTAAATTTATTATAGATATATATCTATAGGCCTATATATATATATAAATAAACGTGTGTGTCCTTATATTTCACCTTTCAGCCAAAACTATACATAGCACATGAATGGTGTTTGTATGTGGTAATAGCCCCAAGTCTCCATTCGTGCACTATGGTGGTTGCGTCTCGATAGCTATAAGGGTGCGGGAGATATGGGCTTGAAAGTGATTGAAAATGGACGATTTTCTATTTCGATTTTAAAAATTTTCGGTTATAGAACGATTGTAAATGTTTCAGAAAATTGATTAAATTAAAAATAGTTCGTTTAACTGGACGTAAAAATTCTGTAATTAGTCTAAAAACGGGGGACCTAATTCTTGCATTCTGTGAAAACGGGCAAGATTGGCTATAATGTAATTATCTTAATCTTCACTATCGTTACTTTTTGCCCACAAATAAAAACCCAGCGAAGAGGGTCCTTGCAGCTAGTAATATATAAATTTATTGTAATAATTTCACTGAAAACAACTTATTGTATTTTTAAACGAACTAACTATCTGCAAAAATTGCATATATTAGTAAAATTATTAAATGGTAATATTGCCTAAACATTCAGAAGTTTTACATTTTTTAATTATCTGTTGAATAGCACAAACATCTTTCTGTGTAAGATGCAATAATTGCAAATTCGTGTCTTTCCTAGTTTTGGGATATAATACATAAATGCAATAAACGAGAGTAAGCCTTTTCTTTCACAATTTTACTAATTTATAAAAACCTATTTAACGTTTGGTTACAAAATAGAAATTTTTAATAAAAATCGACCGATAAATAACTATTGAGTATAGTACTTAAAAAACAATTAATTATCACAGTGATAATAAACTATTTTTGGAATTAAAGCAATTATAAAATTGAGTCTGTATGTACAGTAAGTACATACACACATGCATATGTTGTATATATTTAGATATTTAAAAGTAATTCATTATACATATTATTATACAGAGATTTTTTTAATGCAGAAATTTCTCATTAAGGTAATAAGGTATAAGTTTATCTAGTTTATATTTTTAGTATTTTGTATTTAACCAAGTATCATTAGAATATCAATATTTTATTTCCAAGTTTTTACGTTATATTATATCGAAATTTTTAAAACTTAGTACTAATAAACAGTTTAATTAAAATAGAAAATTAAAAATAGAAATTCCCAGTTTTAATTAAGTTGTTTGTTGATGCTAAGTAGGTATCCTGCCTCTTCAGGAGAAGACAGTTATGACTCCCGTGAGATTCGTTATCTCATCAACGCTTTTAAAATGTCACTAAAGATGATATTTTAAAAGCAACAATTATCACTTTAGACGTGTTTTGTTAAAACTGCATAAATTTGTGTTATAGGATATTGTAATAAAAGTTCATCTTCTTGTCATGAAATATCTATTCTTTTCCATCACATATTTTTAATAGCAATATGATAATTTACAGAATGTAATTTTAATAGACTGATTTATTAGGACTCTTCATAAATAAATTTCAAACTTGAGGAAGACATGGTAATGGTTATGACAAATCGGACAAAGTGAAACAGGGTTTAAAGGAGTGATTTAACTTGAATGGACGCCCATTTTATTTGATTCAATTTTATACAATCGACTTATTTCATTACTCATACAGTGATAAAACATTCTATGAATTCATTGAGGTTTATTCAACCACGGAAATGGGTAGGGAGTTAAGCCCTATTATTCCCTATGTAGATCTGTCAATGCAACTGACAAGCATTGAAGGAGTAATTACAGTCTCATGGGAGCCATACCTGTCAACACCAGTAATGGCTAATTACATGTGAATACCAATTAAAATGTAATTAAAGTAGGATATTAACAACACGAATTCTCACGCATTTATCCTGTAAAGATTATAACAAAATATTACTGTTTAAAAAATCGCGATATAATGCTGTATAATAAAAAAAGTCAGAAATAAACTATCGATATTCTAATGGTATTTAAAATTAAAAAAATTAAAACATATTACTACATAAACAGAGAGAAATTTATTCATTTAATGTGTATACATATAAAATTAATAAGTTTAAATATCTGCATATGTATAAATATACATGTCTGTATGTTGATATATTTTAAAACAATTCTTTTATCTTAAGGTTCCTAGACAAAAACATAAAATTCTTGGAGTTATTTCTTTACCGATCGCTAAATATTTTCTCTTTTTTATATATAACAACGTGAAATGTAAAAATTGTATTTTAGAATTTAAATTATTTATTTTCTGAAAAGTTATGCTTTTTAAATTTGCAAAAAAAAGTGTTTCATATATCCGCATTTACCTACTTACTACCAGTCGAATAAAATATTTTATATTTGTTGAGTAGTGTTATTCTTAACTATGACGAACCGATATTCATAAATGAAAATACAAATGGTGTCTCGTACGATTTACTCAAAAGCTAGGTTATCTTTACATTACAATTTATATAAATAGCTATAAAGTCTGTAATTTTCTTTAACTTCTATTTATTAATCCGTAGATGTTGTCTATTAAAAATTCGACACTCTTTTAACCTGACACAGTAATTTTATTGTTTAAAGTCAATCTCTGTAATTTATAAAAATTAATTAAATTTTATTTTGTATGTGACTATTTAATTTTAAAAAATACAACAACTTCGCAATATAATTATTTCGTATTTATTGCAAACACCAAAAAATACATAGGAGAATAAAATATTCGAATGTGATCTATCTGACGTAACTGAAAGAATGAATATATTGCACGTTGACAACACAACGTTGACAACACAATATATTGCACGTTGACAACATGATGAAGTTCCGTTCGGAAACTTCATGTTGCTTTTTTAAGTATTCATAATGGCAATTAGCATCTTGTACGATTAAATTTACACTTTCTTCTGTAAATAATTGTTCGAATATTTCTAATTCGGTGGAATTCTCATTTAAACGCCTCGATCTAATTCCCGAACAACTGCCATCGAACTTCAAATATTTTTCAACTAAATTAGAAGATTGAACTCATTTGATTGAATCGTCGTGTTTTCTTTTCTTACAAGGAGTCGCGCCATCTTGTTGAATCGGCGCATCTTGCTGACCAGAATATTCGAATCTCGGATATCTGGAATCTTCCTTTCCTGAAGAAACAAGCATTAATTTTTTAGTCTCTTCGCCGTTTGATCCGTTATAATTCATTTCGGCTTTCAAAGTAACTCACACAAACGCACACACACACGTTGTAGTTGTTTCCTGTAACAGGTCGCCTTTCGTTTTGACAGTAGCTACCGACTAGATCAAAGGTCACAGGAAATTGCGGTTGCAGACAAATCAAACAAAGGACTTGTCAGTATGCTTTCTGATTGTTCTAATTGAAACAAAAGCTTAAGGCTAGTGAAAGCATGCAGGAGACATGCGCTTGGAAGTAGGAATTAAGGTCACTTCCTATTGCTTTGTCTCTTGCAGAAGCACTTTCAGAGCTAAAAACATCAGCCCCCAAGTGTGAGGGGCCCACAATAATTGAATTGTTATCATAAATTTTTAATACTTTTTCATTAATTAACAAAGAGCACGAATCGTATAGTAAAAAATAGTTAATATTATTAGTATAATAATAATAATAATTTATAGTATTACTTGTATCATTTGACTTCAATTTAAAGGTTCTTTATTAATTATACAAATAATGAGGCCTCATTAAACTTCAGTAAGCCTCATGTTCCGTAAGATTTAGATCTTTCTTGAGTGTGCTATAGGGAAAATTGATACGATACGTCCCTTTTTTTCATTAATTTGTAATTAAGAATTTTTAGTGAACGTAAATATTTAATAGAAGGTAGTAATGTTGATGTAATTAACCACAATAACTAAATTAACCACAGCTTTTCAAGACAAATACGCAAGGAAATATATGTGCATTTATAAACAATTCTATTACTCCTTAAAGTCTTAGAAATGAACTAACCCAAATGCCAACTCTAGTCGGGGCGACTATAGTTGCATTACTCATATATACTAAACTTTCAATATTAAAACTGGCCTACGTGATTTAAATATAAGTTATCTATTTATAAAATTATCGTATTGTAACTATGGGGATTATTAAGTACTTAGTATATCTGTTCATAAGCCATGAAGACCTTTTAATAACCAGAATCAATGTATCATAAAGATTGTTAATTATTATATTATTATTTAGTCCCAAAAATATTCTATTGTCTTTTCCAGCCCATCTTTGTTGACTCTGTATAACAGAGGTTTTTCACCAAACAATGAATTCTTTATGTGGATTTGGACTTGATATAATAAAAATGTTCCACGGATTTTTAGGAATAATTAAATTAGTTTATGGTATTTTAAATTTACAAAGATATTTTTAAACAAATATATTCTTATCGTAATCATTTCTTTTATTAGTAACCAAACAGATGTCCAGCATTGCCCGTCCAAACCTGTTACATTAAAATCTATATTACAAATGTTACATATAATTAACACCTTATCCTTGCCGAGAAATATAATTTATTTCAAACAAACGTTTTCAGCCTGATTCACAGGCCATCTTCAGGTTGAGAACCAAGTTTGAATGAAAAAATTCCATTAATTATGTTGAATATTATTCAACATATTATTGAAATACAATGGATAAGAAAAACAGGTTAAGAATTCTTACTAAGAAAGTGGAGATGTTACAGCATGACATAAACTACTTCAGGTGCTTCTTGAGGGAAGAACACACACCAAAATCCTTAAAGTTAAAAAGAAGTATACGGAATATAATCCCCAAACATATGATTTGGAAGATAGAAAGAAAGATAATAAAATCTGTAATTAGGAGTAAAGTTAAAAAATGGAATAATTTAAAATACCAACTAAGAAAATTATTACAACAACATAGTTACAAAGAAAACCCACACAAAGGTATTGCAAATGGATACAAATATAGAAAAGATCTTAAATTACATAAATTATTTAAGTATCCGGTCCCTAAAATGAAAAATATGTGGATAAATAATTTAATTGTTAATAAAACTAACATACAAATCCCTACTTACATAAAACAATTCCTAACATTAGGAATTGATTTTAATATACCTATTGAGAAAATAACTATGGATCTAATAGCAAGTATAGACAAAAGTATAAAAGACTTGCCGATAAAAAAGGATAAGAAAACTAAATTAATAAATTCCGTAATCCAAGATATAAAACATATATCCCAAAAGAATAAATTTAAAGTAAATAAATATAAAACAAACTTAAATAAAACTATAAATTTTTTAAAAACAAATAACCTTGCTATCATAAAAGCTGATAAAACAAGACAACTCATAATAATAACTAATGAAGAATTAGAAAATAAAAGTAAAGAACAAATTGACAATGAACAATATACTAAATTAGTTAATAATCCATATGAAAAAATAAAAAAGGATTTAACAAAAATTGTAAAAGAAATGCATTCGAAAGGTAATATTAGTGATACGGATAAAAATAATATAATTAATTTTAATAATAATAGAACCCCCAAGTTACATATACGGTTGAAAACACACAAAAAAGAAGAAAAATATAGACCAATAGTTGATTTTAGATACTCGATACTATACAATTTAGAAAATTATATTAAACAAAAATTAAAAAGTATTGAAAATTCTAAAAATAGCATAAAAAATGCTGATGAAGCAATTAATATTATTCAAAAAATTAAAAAAGAAAAAACAGACACATTAATCAGCCTAGATGTAAAAAATATGTACCCTAACATAAAATGGAAACTTGTACGGGATAGCCTCACAAATTTAAACATAAGTAAAACTTTAATAGATTTAACACAATTTGCATATCAGAGAAATTATTTTGAAGTCTATAATGAATTCTATAGGCAAACCGATGGTGTGAGTATGGGGTCAAAGATGGGGCCAAAACTAGCTGAATTAGTAATGATAGAAATAGACAAAAAAATACAAAACATCCCAGGGATAAAGACCGTAATGAGGTACGTAGATGACTATTTAGTAATATTTAATAATAAAATAACTAATGATAAAATAATTCTTAACACAGTTAATAGTATAAATAATGATATTAAATTTGATATAGAATTGGAAAAAGATAATAAAATTAATTTTCTTGATATAACAATAAATAATGAAACAGATAAATTTACGTTTAATACTTATAAAAAACCATCCAATGTAAATAAAACAATAAACTATCACTCTAGCATTCCACAGACAGTAAAAAAGAATACATATATAATGGAATTAAAAAATATATATACAAGAACCACCAACGAAAATGACCGAAAAATTGAATTAAAAGAATTAGAACAGAAATTCATTTTAAATAGTTATCCCAAGAAAACTTTGATGATATGGAAAACACAATATGATAAAAATAGGTTTAATACAAAAATTAAAAAAGACAAAACATATAAACCCTTCCCATACATTGATAATATTTTTAATAATTGTAATAAAAATCTTAAAAAAGAGAATGTGGCATTGGCCCCAGCTTTGACCAACAAAATCTCACAGAATGTTCATATTAATAGATCAAAAACAGACAAATTTAATAATGATGTATTGAAGAAAACTGGTGTTGTATATAAAATCAATTGTAATTGCCAAAACCCGAAATATTATATAGGTGAAACTGGTCGTACATTAGAGACACGTATTAAAGAACACGAAGCTGCCATTAGATTAAATTATAACAACTCTCCCTGGTATAACCATATTAAAAATAGTAAATGTAAAATTGATAGAAATAATATTAAAATCTTACACACAGAAAAAAATATATATAAAAGAAAATTCAAAGAACATATTGAAATAATAAAAAATAAAAACAATAATTTAATAAATATCTCTAATGGCATGCAAATAGAACAACAGTGGTACGACATCATAGAGGGCGTGGCAATAGACCAATAAAAAATTTTTTTGTGATACTTAACACTAAAAGAATGATTGTAAAGGTTACTTTGTGTAAGTTACCTAGTGTAAGTTGACATTTGTGCATTTACAATATTAGAAAGAAAGAAACCTGTATGTATACTTTTTTAAAAAATCTTTGTACAACTTGCTTGTTACGATGTTTATTCATATTGTCATTATAAATTGTTATTTATAGAAATGTTTAATTATTGCGAACCCAAATCTAAAAATATTGAATGTTTTTCAAAGCATATTAAACCAAAAAAAAGGTCAGTGTGCATATTTTATAAAAATACCCTTTTCCTTTTTTGAAATATTTACCACTTAGTTTTTATTTATTTTGTTTTTATAGCAATAATTTCATCATATTACTTTTTACTCCTTGTACTGTTGTTTTAGTAAGTAACGATCCAACTGAATGAAAAAAGGAAATGTGTAAAACCCTTAGAGGTATTTGTGATGTGTTTATGTTATGTTACTTGGCAAATTACTTTGTTAGTTTTTTAAATTATATCAATTTAATGTTTATAATTGTAGAACACTGAAGAGGAACCGGAAATGTTATACCGGTTCGAAATGCATATGTGAAAACTAATAAAAGAATTTATTAACCTTTGCTGTGAGATAGTCTACCAAATGGATTAAAGAGACAAAAAATTCATNGAATTAAAAAATATATATACAAGAACCACCAACGAAAATGACCGAAAAATTGAATTAAAAGAATTAGAACAGAAATTCATTTTAAATAGTTATCCCAAGAAAACTTTGATGATATGGAAAACACAATATGATAAAAATAGGTTTAATACAAAAATTAAAAAAGACAAAACATATAAACCCTTCCCATACATTGATAATATTTTTAATAATTGTAATAAAAATCTTAAAAAAGAGAATGTGGCATTGGCCCCAGCTTTGACCAACAAAATCTCACAGAATGTTCATATTAATAGATCAAAAACAGACAAATTTAATAATGATGTATTGAAGAAAACTGGTGTTGTATATAAAATCAATTGTAATTGCCAAAACCCGAAATATTATATAGGTGAAACTGGTCGTACATTAGAGACACGTATTAAAGAACACGAAGCTGCCATTAGATTAAATTATAACAACTCTCCCTGGTATAACCATATTAAAAATAGTAAATGTAAAATTGATAGAAATAATATTAAAATCTTACACACAGAAAAAAATATATATAAAAGAAAATTCAAAGAACATATTGAAATAATAAAAAATAAAAACAATAATTTAATAAATATCTCTAATGGCATGCAAATAGAACAACAGTGGTACGACATCATAGAGGGCGTGGCAATAGACCAATAAAAAATTTTTTTGTGATACTTAACACTAAAAGAATGATTGTAAAGGTTACTTTGTGTAAGTTACCTAGTGTAAGTTGACATTTGTGCATTTACAATATTAGAAAGAAAGAAACCTGTATGTATACTTTTATAAAATCTTTGTACAACTTGCTTGTTACGATGTTTATTCATATTGTCATTGTAAATTGTTATTTATAGAAATGTTTAATTATTGCGAACCCAAATCTAAAAATATTGAGTGTTTTTCAAAGCATATTAAACCAAAAAAAGGTCAGTGTGCATATTTTATAAAAATACCCTTTTCCTTTTTTGAAATATTTACCACTTAGTTTTTATTTATTTTGTTTTTATAGCGATAATTTCATCATATTACTTTTTACTCCTTGTACTGTTGTTTTAGTAAGTAACGATCCAACTGTATGAAAAAGGAAATGTGTAAAACCCTTAGAGGTATTTGTGATGTGTTTATGTTATGTTACTTGGCAAATTACTTTGTTAGTTTTTTAAATTATATCAATTTAATTTTTATAATTGTAGAACACTGAAGAGGAACCGAAATGTTATACCGGTTCGAAATGCATATGTGAAAACTAATAAAAGAATTTATTAACCTTTGCTGTGAGATAGTCTACCAAATGGATTAAAGAGACAAAAAATTCACAAATTCCATTAATTAATTAAGGTCATCCAGCTGTGTAAACAATGACTCATCAGTGTTAAATTTCGCAGAAAGGCGAGACAAAGGTAGTTAAACTTTTAAGCTGTTTCTTCGAAATTAACACATTTCTTTCGTTTTTTTTCGGTTTTTAAGTATTTTTTTTAAATTAAAAATTCGTAAAAAAACATACGTACTCAAGTGGTTAATGGAATACAACATTCAAAATTCAAAATTAAATAAGCAACAGAATAAGATAAAATTAAAAATTAAATAATAAATAACCAACGGAGTAACATAAAATAAAAATATAAAAATGTAAAAATGTGCATAGAAGTATAAAGAAATACAATTACTAACACATCCAATAAAATTATTATTTTAACTGGTTAGAGCTCTTATTGCTTGAGTCGCTAGGAATGGTGTCCTTACTTGAGTCGCGTAGGTCTTTCAGACCCAGTGTTTTTAATATGAAATAATTCAATTTTATCTATCGCATAAAGAAACTATAATTTCTTTGTTGGATTCTGCGCTTTGTTTTCTATATCTATTTAGGCCTATATATATATAAATGGATGTGTGTGTCCCTATATTTCACTTTTCAGCCAAAACTACACATCGCACATAAATGGTATTTGTATGTGGTAATAGCCCCAAGTCTGCATTCCTGCACTATGGTGGTTGCGTCTCGATAGCTATAAGGGTGCGGGAGATATGGGGGCTTAAAGTGGTTGACTTCGAAGCTTTTCTATTTCGATTTTAAAAATGTTCGAACCGTTTTAAATTCGAATTGGTTCGGTTATAGAACGATTGTAAACGTTCCAGAAAATTGATAAAATTGAAAATAGTTCGTTTGACTAGATGTAAAAATTCTCTAATTAGTCTGGAAACGGGGGACCTAATTCTTACATTCTGTGCTGTAAGGGTGCTCGAGAATTCTTATAAAAAGAGCCCGTAATTTATACAAAATCCTCAGAAATGATAAAAGTGCTATAATGTCAGAGGAGAAAGCAGGGGTTTATAGAATTCCTTATGAGAATATGCAATTGGGCGTTAAAAAAGACTATATTGGAGTAACCACTAGGAGTTTAGGACTTAGAATCAAGGAACATAGTTATAATATCAGAAAGGAGTCTAATGCAACAATTTTGTCCCAAATGGCGCAAACACCAGGATCTGTAGTCAAATGGAATGAGGCAGCCATTATAGAACCTTTATTTTTCCCATCTTTGGCGTTGACAGCTGAAAACTTGCAGATTTATAGGAGTAAAATACAGGAAGGCTGTTTAAATGCGAGGGATGCAGAAAATCTTTCCTCTGCCTGGAATTTTATAGTTATAAAATTTAACTAATCACAGACTTGTGAAAGAAAAAAATTGCTGCGAAAAGTCTTGCTTCCAACTTTTAAAATGAAATGTGAATAATCACAATAAATTCGCTTTTTAAGTCGATTTTTTAGTTTTATATAACTAATTTAATGTACTTAAACATCAAGTTAACTAATTCGACAATATTTAGGAGATTAAATATGTTTTTAAAACTATCTAGCAACAAATATTACCGGGAAACTCCAACTCTCTATAGCAGGGGTGGCCAAACCGTGGCGCATGCGCCAAACTTGGCGCATTGGACGATTACAAGTGGCGCTTTAGTCAGTTCTGAGAAACATTGCCAGACTTGGCTTCTTTGCAATTAAGAATATTACATAGAAAATTAATTTTTTATAGTCTGTCTTGGCAAGTTCATTTGTTGCACAATTCGTTGCAATCAACTTTACATATAAAATGAGTGTTCTCCACATAGTAAATTACAGTGTATGCATGTATGTTTATTTTCGATCAGTGCATAGGCGTCTGAATGACAGTGCTACCGTCCGGACAGTCCACGAGTAGGTTGGACCGCTACACGTGTTGCCTTTTTTTTTTTTTTTTTTTTGCTTTTACGATTCACGATACATTCGCAATCGTGTATGCCACTAATGTCAAACGGGACTATTTTGTACGGGTAACTACACCACTACCGCATTTTTTATTAATTTTTTTTCAGACAACTGAATTTTGATCTT